GCATATTTCACATGAATAGCAATCAAACACTTTGTGCAGGAGGTGGTCTAAGGCCACATGGTATTAAAGGGGTCATGAACTGGCATTTCAATTTTTTTTTATATATTGTTGTCTGAGGTCAACTTATGACGTTTGCTTGGTTTTTACATTCAAAAACATCAAAATGAATACGTAATAGGCTATTTTCTACCGTAGTTTTGAGCCTAGCTGAAAAACACTGGGTTTTTATGGGCGTCTCGCACTGAAGACTTGGAAGTAAACGCCCACTGCTGTGAGTGGATAACAGTTTTGCATATTATAACGAGTTTCAACTCACCCGTCGGTGCACTTGGGGGAAATTGTTTTGAAAACGTCCAATGTTGTAAAATGGCAACCGGAATGATTCGCCCATACATGTTCGACCCAGAGTCCGTGTGTTGCACCATTCCTGTCAGATCCGATATAGACGGCACAGCACCGTTCTTTACTCTTAATCGCTCTGCAAATCCAGTCTTGTTTACAAAACAATCCTCAGTGAAATGAAGCGAACAGACGGACGATGTTTTACCTCATCAGCTGGAACGTCTTTAAAAATAAAGTTTAACCATGTTTAAAGTTTATTGCTCGGTAGCTCGATCCGGTTTGTCATCACGAGGTAGGCCTATGTAATTTAGCTATGCGTGTAATGCGCAAATCGGTGGGCGGGGCTAAACTGGCCATGTTGAAATAGGCGTTGATCTTCTTCTGCGGAGGTGGTGTTTTATCCTCGTTGACGTCATAGTTCCCCACTTTGAAAAACGAGTCGTTGGACTAACTATTGGACTAACAAGGACGTTTTCAGTTCTGAAACTTACAGGATATTCTTATAATATGATGACCTCTTAGATGTCAAAAGCTCAAGGAAAATTTAATTTCTCAGTTCATCACCCCTTTAAGATGCATTTTGGTCAACTGAATCACGAGTGGACGATGCTAAATACAAGTGTAAAGGGTTTCTTAAACGCTTTGAGCTTGTCCACTTTCGACCACTTCCACAGGTAGTCGAAAAAACACATTTGACTGGCCTTCGTAATGTAAACGCTAATGTGGTCGAATGTGTTCGAACAGCCACAAAAGACCGTCTTCTCTCCGCCTACTGAGTTAATGCATTGTGGGAAGAGCTCTAACCAGACGGGATTTAAACTTTGTTTGGTTTGAAGAAAAACGTTTGAAGGGACTTCTAGTCAAAGTCTGTTCCTCAGTCTCATTTACATTAAATATGGCATCTGACACCTGAGGAACATAGGTTTAAGATATGATTGAAGGATGATTGATTTCTGTCTTCTATTCATCCTACTGTTGTGCAACTTAACATTTAGATGTTCAAGTAGATGTTCCAAAATCAAGATCCTGTTGTTCCTGGAACAACATATCAAGTCAACCCCTTTATGTGCACTGAGTAAATGGATGGGGTTCGGGTTATGATTGGTGGATGTCTTGTTTTTGTACAAAGACAGACAAACCACTGATCTTAAGACAAGACACTGAAAAAATGAGCCTTATGATGCATTATGAATGAAGGCTTTATCTGGTGTTATAATGCATTCTATTCTTAAAATTATAACCACAAATAGGCAAGTATGATAATGTATATTGTACCTGTTGTTATGATTATTTGTAAGATGATACAACGTAAGGTTGTTTATAAGAAATCATTCATGTATTATAATGCATTAAGAATACCCGTATGAAGCATTATAAACAGGGGTGCAATAACTGGTGCGCATGTGTGGTAAAAATAAACAACGTTTACTTACTGGAGTTGGATTTTCTCCATCTCTGGTAATATAGAAATCATGATGAAAAGTGTGTTCATTAATTAAAAGTACGGATCAAGTCCCATGGTTCGTCACGCATGTGATTTGTGGATAAACTGGTAAGGTCAACAGTCTTAGAGTGAAAGTTTATCATTTGGACAAGTTTTGTCTTGCCAATTTACACATTCGAACGATTTTAAATGCGGAAGAAGAGGTGAAAAATGCGCACAAACTCACTCACTCGAAGCGCGCAGAGAGAGAGAGGCACGTCTCAGACAGCGCTCAAACATCTAATTGATTCCTCTTTCGCGTTTACTTACGCTTGAACTTAAACATGCACACAAAATGATGTCAAAATACTCGTCTCGACAATTATTCTCTTGGTTATGTCTTTAAGTGAACAGAAAGAAACCGGATGTGTGTCAGAATATTCGGTCCGTGCATTCGGTCTTAAAGTGACAGCAGCCTAATATTCCTGCTGTTTTCTGTGTCATTAATGTTAATAAGTTAAAAAAAAGTCATCATCATCTACCATGTTCGAGAGGAAATATGATAACGAGGAGAGCAGTCAGGAGGAAAGTGATGATGACGACATGCTTGTAGGAGAAGTGTGATGCGTAAAGCGTGAGTACCAAGCAGCATCTCCAGTTGCTCACTTGAGAACAAGACATACAAATTTATGTGCACCCCTGTTTATAAATACAGGCTTCATAGAAAGTGCTACCAAATATTTATATATATACTGTATATATATATATACTTAAAACGAATGTATAGTTGATATATTGATACACAGGTTTCACAATAAATAGAAGCATTGAAGAAAATGAGTTACACTCTCAATAAAATGTAAGACTTAATCTAAAACTTTTTTAAAGGGGCCCTTGTGCTTTTTTCCAACTTTCTTTAGTGTGTAATGCTGCGGTTTGAGCATGAAACATGCAAAGTTCCAAAAGTCACTCCTAAGGATGTTATTCCAACGCATTCTCATCCCAAGGCGTCATATACTGACGCTTTTGCCAAAGCGTAGACATCCAACGCACATGGCACCCTTTAGCGTCAATATAACAGGCACAGAGTATGGGTAGGAATAGGTCTGGGGTAGGGTTAGGGTTAGACCACTAGGAGGCGCCTTCTGCCCCATATCTGCGTCTCATATTGACGCTAAAGGGTGCCATGTGCGTTGGATGTCTACGCTTTGGCAAAAGTGTCAGTATTTGATGCCTTGGGATAAGAACGGACTGTTTATTCTGTTTGTCAGTGTCACTGTTTCCGAACTCGTCACAATATTCCTTATTTAAATAATCCCTGCCTAAGGGATACGCAAAATAAAGGGGCGGGGCCTGGTTGAGTTAGTTAGTAGTGTGTTGAAACTCTCAGTTATGGTAACTGGCGAGACATTTCCCATAAACGCTCGAAACACTTGACTAATCACAATACACTGGTCCAGCCGACCAATCAGAGCACATTGAGCTTTTCATAACGAAGGGCTTCATGGAGATAGGAACTACATTTCACAAATGCATCATAAGCCTATGAGTAGATCGTAGAACCATTGCCACCAATGGTGTCTGTGATCAACTTAGCTTACGATGCTTTTGGGAAACAAAGCCCAGAGTGTTACTGACAGACTGGTACGTGAGGTGCTGCAATAATGTAAAATATGTGAAAATAATGTGTTTTTGAACATTCAAGCATGAAAACCTATTGTAGTAGACCCCAAAAACAAAATCAAGACTTTGTAAAAGGGCATAATAAGTCAACTTTAAAACTGTATTTCCAGCTAAAATGCTTTTTTGCAAAGTATCATTTCCTGGGAATGGTTCATGATAGATGTATTGCTAAACATTGTAAACCTCATGGCAATGGATCATTTACACCCTTAATGGCAATTCTGTTGAAACATTTTGGTTTTCTTGGCTCCTGAAGATGTTTACATGTGCACTATTAATTTCTTTTAGCTGGTTCCTTGTGTTTCATTCCAGTTTCAACAGAAAACCGATTTCAGACACTGATTGAGTATCATGACGACTGAACACTGTGGTTTTAGGGGTAGTATTATTAATCTTGGAATTAGTTATGTTCCCCTTTTGCTTTAATGACAGCAGACTTTAATAAAAGTTTATATAAAACCTGATGATCTTGTTCTCCAGGATGATTTGAGAATGATTCAAACATCATTGTGTGATTCAGTTGAATCAAGAACATCTGACGGTCTGAACAAAAAGCATGATATCAATGTCTCAAATGACTTGATTAGTGACCAAGACATAACACAGAATTTTAAATATTTTGTATTCAGTCTATGTCAATGAATAAATAAAATCCAGACGTTTGTGTTGGTCACGATGATCATGTTTTCCAGCATAATTTGAGAATGATTCAAAGAGTAACTTGTGCTTCAGTTAAATCAAGAACATCTGACCATCTGTATAAAGAGTCACAGGATGTCAGTGTCCCAAATTGAATTAGTGACCAAGATATTTAAATGTATCATTATCGTTTTATATTATGATGGTTCAGAATCCTACCTTTCTGTTTATTTCCAGCTTGTAATGACCAACTTGTTCCACATTTTCATTGTGGTCTCAGAGTTTTGGACCCTACTTTACATACAAAAATCCTGTCAGACAGGAAGCCCCCCACTGTTTTCTTTCCCTCCATGTATTACATTTTTCCTCTCTGGTTCTGCCAAAACGTTTGACTTTAAACTGGAACAGTGTCAATCTTTTTAAAATGGGCTTGCTGTCCCGGAGAGACCTTGCAGTGATGTTTTTAGTTAAACATTTCTGATGGTTTTATTGATCATTTTTGTTTACTTTTGTTGTAACATTGGATAAAGTGATGGTTTATTGTGGCACAGAAAATTAAACTTCCCTTACATATGTGTATGATGGCAAAAATAAAAATGACATTGTAATAGCATATGAAGAGTTCAGATGCAAAAGCCTCTAAGTGCCATTTGAAATTTTGTTCTAGAATGACCATTTTTATCAAGCTTGTGTATTTAAGTTCAGTAATTTCACTTAAATGACAATTAATAGGTAATCTTCATTGCCATTTAAGTGAAATTACTGAACTTAAATATACAAGCTTGATAAAAATTATAATTTTAGAAGAAAATTTCAAATGGCACTTAGAGGCTTTTGCATCTGAACTCTTCATATACTCTTGCCAGGAGAGAAATGTTTTGGTTCTGAGTGCAAATCTTTGTCTTTGACACAGGTCCTTCCTCAGTCATCAGTAATGACGATGACTCTGCCAGCCCTCTTCATCATATGTCCAATGGCTCTAACACACCCTCGTCCTCTGAAATGAACGCGGACGCCGTCATCATCGGCATGACCAAGATTCCCGTCATAGAGAACCCGCAGTACTTCCGCAGCACCAGCAGTCTGCTCAAATCTGATACCTGTGAGTACCTATCTTTGTTTTTTTCATTTGTGTCTTGCCAACTTATGAAACAATAATAGCCCAATTACTAGAAAAAAAAACAAAAAAAACCAATATGGATTTTTTTATTTTTTTTGGCAATGAGACCATTTCAAATAAGTACATTCCCCCCAACATATTGTTTTAAACTTTATTTCGATGGTCCACTTTAGACATTCTACTAAATATAGGCTAAGTGGCATTGCAGCTAGATGTCAACTAACACTTATTATTCAGGGAATGATTATTTTTTCCTTAGAGTATTAGTAGGCTGTTAGGTTAGTGTTCGGGTTTGTACACGTACTTGTAAAGTTACTTATAGTCAATCGAATGTATGTTGGGTAGCATCAAAATAAGGTTTAATACTACTAATAGTAGTATACTACTAGTGTACTAATACTCTAATGGTGTTTAAACAATGTAAAAGGGACATGTACTGTAGAGTAATTTAAAGGCAATAAATAATTGACTTTTTAATTAATATACTTAAAGGGTTAGTTCACCCAGAAATTAAAATTCTGTCATTAATAACTCGCCGTCATGTCGTTCCAAACCCGTTAGACTTTTTCTGATGAGACTTGATCGCTTTATATGATGAAGAGATTTAAAGGGCACATATCTATCTAAATCCACTTTTTTAGCCCTTGAATGCATTTTGTTGTATATTTGGAGTGTTTATAAGTACAGAAAAGATGAAATTATTCTCTTCAGATGATTCATTTATATCTTTATATTCTGTTTTGGTCATATTTTTCAACCTGTTCTGATTTTTCTTTTGAAAAATTACGTCACAGTATTTGCAGCAGAACTGACAAATAAGGACATTGACGGCCCAACACTTCAATCCGCCATTTTTATTTCTCGCTCCGATTTTGTAGTCCAAGCTCAATGATGCATAAGTTACGAGAGGGCAAGTCAAAATGTTCGGCTTTTGGATGTAGTGACCCGAAGCACTTCAAGGATTCCGACTTCAATAACCTCCGCCGGTATAAAGAAGGGTTTGCCGATCGACTTCGTCTGAAAGAGGGGTCAATTCCTTCTATCTTTGGAGACGACAAACAGAGCATTTCGATAAGCTGTAAATATCGCTAATAAAAATAAAGTACTTTACTTTCTTAAAACACATGGTGGTCATGGTTTAGCAGTACACTTGTCTTTCTCTGTTTTTGTTTTGAAAGTAACATTAGACATCTGCAGTATTATTGTTCTTGAGTTTCATCATGACAATGCTGTGTTTTCTGATGCTTTTCTAAACGTATCATATTATCAATACAGATTTTTAGTGGTAAGATTAGACCGTAGTCATTTATTTTATTAGTGTGCTTGTTTTAACAAGAGAAATAACTCAGCGACCTGGAGAGCAGGCGGGGTATGACATATCTCCTTTGCATTTAAAGGGGCCGCTCCAAAATGAGTTGCTCACAGACGCACATCAGAAAAGGGGCCTGTAAAGCTATAATAATGAGGAATTCAGACCCAAGCATTGCAGTTTCGCTTTATATAGACCATAAATGTATGATTTACATGTAAAAAGTATGATATGTACCCTTTAATTTAGTCTTTCATTCACATATAAACATTGATCAGCAAACATAAACAGATGCTCAACCAAACCTGCTTGACTCGCAAGAACAAATCTCATTGGTTCTTGCAGAAGCTCAAACGTGCTGCGTAACACAAGAATGAACCTCATTGGTCAAACATGCAACCTCGAACATGATTGAGCAAACTGATGTGTGGCTTGATGAATCTGTTCATCATATAAAGCGATCGTGTCTCTTCAGAAAATTTGGAGTAAACCACTCAAGACATTTCAATTAGTTTCACCAATCTCTTTAATCTCTTCTTTATGATTTTTTTTTTACGTCAAAGTGGTAGTTGCAGAGCTGTCAATGGAGGGACAGAAAACTCACAGATTCAATCAAAAAGATCTTAAAAGTTCATGTAAAGTCAAGAATGGTTTGGAACAAAATCAGGGCTAGTAATTAATGAGAGAATTTAAATTTTTGGGTGAACTATATCCCTTTAATTTTTTTTTTTTTTACATTCTGGTAATGAGGATATTGGTGGAAATGTGCTTGTCTTAATGGCCCCACTCTAGGCATCATTTTATTCAGGAAAACTAAATTAGGGGGGAACATACTCAAACATTGATTTGGCAGGTTTATATGACTGTGCATCTGCATACACAATCACACGGCATCTTGAATATTTATTTTATAACCCTCATCACTTGCCTTTCTCATTTTTTACATTCTCTGTGTCCTTTCCTTCCCACTCTGGTTACTTTTAATATAGGGTTATGGTGTACTGTAGATCGATGCAGCCTCATCATCTAGCTCTCGCTAATGTAATCGGCTGACTGGCTAGTTTTTCTTCAAAAGCATTTCTTAATCACATTAAGGATAAATCTCTAAGAGTGCAGTGTCTGTTCAGAATCTTCTCTCTCTCTCTCTTTATCTCTCTCTCCTCCAGCACACTAAACGGCTGATTAATCTCGTCTTATCTCTGCACTGTCCTCACTCTCTTGAGGGACGTCTGGGATAAGAAACGTCTCTTTTCCACCAAATCTGAAATTATCTCTTGTACACCTTTTATTAAATTATGTCCAATGTCCGGAATTGCATGTGTCTGATTATAAATGATGCTCTTGGAAACCCATTATTTAATAATAATTATAAAAAAACATAGCCATTGGGATGTCTATAGAACAAACACACACGCAAAAAATAGATATTTTGAAGAATGTTTCAGCTGTCTTTGTCCATAGGATGAAAGTCAATGGGGTCCAAGTTCAAAAAGGGACATACTTTAATCCAAGTCTTCAGAACCATTGCGATCACTTTGTAAATCAAAAATGTTGACGCGTTGAGCTCTGTTTTGTTGATCAATGATTTGATTTGATCAGAGAGTGAATAACCACGTACATTTCAAGTGAATGATGACAGTATTTTCATTGTTTAATTGGTGGAGTCTCCAACAAGGTGAGTTAAACCAGATGTGTTTGATTAAGGAGACGCGCCATTTATGTCTCCCGAGCTTTAAATAGCAACCTCTAAACATATAACTTTTCCCTAGGTAACCTACTCAGTCCCTACCTATCAGGCCTGTCGCTCATCTGAAATTGCTCAACTTATTATGAATGAAGCACTAACATTGGCCAGGGTGTCTCTAACAGATCACTTCCATCCAGTTGCATAGTTACAACATCAATCGTACATACTCATCACGCCCAGATTCCAAACAAAAGAGTCAGCTTCTTCAATTGGTTGACCTTGATGTTGATTAGCTTCAGATAATATACAGTATAGACTAAGTAGGTACTTTATGCATATTAGTATCTTACTGACTCGAGTATATTCAAGGATCTGCCCAGCTAACATAATGGCCCTAGTCTTATTATTACCGTGTTATTACCATTTGTTACACATTCTGGTTCAGTCTCATGAGTTTGGTTAATTTCAGGTTTGCCTGAACTTTTGGATTTATGTCATATCTATTTTAAAAAAAGTGTCTTTCTTTTGGATGTTATGTTTGAAAAGGTCTGATTTATTGTCTTTCTTGAATTACTTTCGAGGACTTCTTTGAATAAAGAATCCTTTAACATTCATTCTCTAACATTTTCATTACAGGACGTCTGACCATCAAGCTATTTTTTGTGAACTCTGCCAGGCGGGTTTATCCCTTTTGGATTACTCGTCCTGTTTTTTATTAAATATCCAATTAATCCTCTCTGAACTGTCTTAAAGGTAGAGTAGGCAATTTCAGAGAGGCTAGCAATAGCAAGCTAGCTTTGAAAGCATAAGATCCCACCATCCTTTCAAAGTGTATCCAAAGCCACACGTCTATCAAAACACATGAACGAGCACAGCGGAGTCTGTAAAAGCTTCACAAAAGACTGTGTTTAATTACCTCATGTCTCAAAGCACATAATATTACAATAATAATGAACACAAACAACTTAAAGAAGTAGTTCACTTTTAAAAAACTTTTGCTGATCATTTACTCACCCCATGTCATCCAAGATGTTCATGTCTTTCTCTACTTTATTAACTCTCCTGTTCGATCTCGTTCATCAAAATGAACAAGTCTTTTGTTGAGTCATGACTCGATGACTCGAAAAAAAATTTGTTCGTTTTGACGAACGAGATCGAACAGGAGAGTCACGAACGCCCATCACAGAGCAAGGCGAGCATTTGTGCTTATAAAACTTTTTTATTTATTTTTTTAAATGACCAATCGTTTCTCTAGATAAGACCCTTATTCATCGTCTGGTGCCGTTTAAAGCCCCTTGAAGCTGCAATGAAACTCTCATTTGGACCTTGAACTGTTTGGTTCCCATTGAAGTCCATTATATGGAGAAAAATCCATATAAAAACCTTAATTTCTTTTCGACTGAAGAAAGAAAGACATGGACATCTTGGATGACATAGTGGTGAGTAAATTATCAGCAAAAGTTTTTTTTTTTTAAAGTGAACTACTCCTTTAAAGAGCAAGGACCTGTACCACCTGACTGCTGCAGATTCATTTCAATGTTGATAGTGTTGACATAGAAACGTATAAATCCGAGTCTGAGGATGTGAGTTGGTCCGAGTAGAACTTCACAGGTTGCCATCTCATAGTTAACAATTGACATGGCGTGAACGCAACATAAGATCATTGTGTCTGTATACAACTCTGCATAGCCTTCCATGATGTGTGATGTCTATGCGAATACATATGTTGACAGATCATTGCATTTCGTATCATCCATCCTTGAATGACCTGTACCTGAAGACCTAATGTTTCCTGTTTGAAAGAAAGTTCCCGATTCTCCTGTTTCTGAGACTGTTACTTAGTTTCATATTTCATACTTTTGCTTAGTTCCTTAAGTTTCCTGATTTCACCGCCTCTTGAGTCTCCAGTCTTCAGGGGTCATCAGCTTTTGAGTCTTCATCCTGCGAGCCACAATCTCAATCCCCAAGGTCACAAACCCATGTCCACCATGTTTGGCTACAATCCCATTATACTATTTTGGGATTGAAGGTTACAGAGTTGAAAGGCAGTGCAAAAAGGCTAAATGTGGCATTAATGTTGTGTTCTTTCGACAGTTGTTCAGCACATTAAGAGGCACAACATTGTACTGAAGAGGGAACTTGGAGAAGGAGCGTTCGGGAAAGTGTTCCTGGCCGAATGCTACAACCTGTCCGCAGAACAGGAGAAGATCTTGGTGGCGGTCAAGGTTGGCTGTGTTATACGTTACTGTGTTATCGCTATACGTTCAGTAGCCTATGCTCATTGTATTTGTACACATTCTGTGTTTGTAGACATTGAAAGAGGCCAGCGAGAACGCCAGGAAGGACTTCCATCGTGAGGCCGAGTTGTTGACCAATCTGCAGCATGAACACATCGTCACATTCTACGGAGTGTGTGTGGAGAGCGATCCGCTTATTATGGTGTTCGAGTACATGAAGCATGGCGACCTCAACAAGTTCCTCAGGTACAGCTTCCTGAACGCATTGGAATCCAATAGTGCTTAGTCACATTCTTTAATTGCTTTGTCCTTGTAAGCCAGTAATTACACATCATTTTTCATGTAGCTATTGAAAATCTGTCGCTAATACAAAGGAAACCATAGGACTTTCATTGCTGCTTTTTAAAGACAGTGTTCTGGTTGGTAAACAAATCTAAATGATCTTTCAGGATGCTGATGGCCAGTTATATAATGTTTTGGTTTATCTCTGAGTTTAAAATGATGAACGTTCTCTGTTCGCCCCAGGGCTCATGGTCCTGATGCAGTTCTGATGGCTGACGGACAGGTACAGCAGCAGGCAGAGCTCACTCAGTCTCAGATGCTTCATATCGCGCAGCAGATCGCCGCAGGCATGGTGTATCTGGCTTCCCAGCACTTTGTTCACAGAGACCTGGCCACACGAAATTGCCTAGTCGGGGAGAATCTCCTGGTGAAGATTGGAGACTTTGGAATGTCCAGAGATGTCTACAGTACAGATTACTATCGGGTAAGATTTGCTTTATCCTTTGTCTGTGCTTTTTCAATTTAAAGAGCCCCTATCATAGCATTTAAAATGTTCCTATTTTTGTTTTAGGAGTTCGCAAAAACAGTTTAACATGCATGCAAAGATAAAAAACACTTTATTTGTCTTATAATATGCATTTATTTTTAACTGATTTGCTCAGCGACTCCCAAATGATTCGTACAACGACTCATTTTTCCAAACCACTCCTTTGCGTGACGCTAATCGGCGGTGATTGGTCAGATGACAGACCCAGTCAGTTATTGTTTGTTAGCATAACGCATAAACATAACAACTCCAATAACAGTAGGGTTGGGTATCGAGAATCGAGTATCGATTGGAACCGAGACTAGCTTTTCGTTTTTCCCGGAATCGTTCAAAAGTAAAAATTTCGATTCCTAGTTTCAATATTCACAGTCCGCCGAGCGGAAGAAGAAACCGCTGAACAACACCAACGAAGAAGCGTCTACCGGAAGTGTTGGCATAACCACGCCAGTCAAACATGAGTAGCTTACGTCGGCGATCCAAAGTGTGGCTTCACTTTTCTAAAAATAACGAAATCTCGGCAAAATGCAAAATTTGTGTCAAAAGGAGTATTTTTACAGAAGGAGTATTTCCTTCAGAAAGGATTATTTCCTTCAGAAAGGCCGTTGGTTAGCAAGGTTAGCTAAACTTTTTTGACCCTGCCTCTTAAAAGAATCGGAATCGAGAATCGTTAGGAACCGGAATCGAAACAAGGAATCGGAATCGAAATTAGAATCGTTCAAATTCAAACGATACCCAACCCTAAATAACAGCGACAAACATTTCACATATTTAAAAAAAATTGACATTGGAGACCTAGAAGCTGCGCTGAGCGTAACTTACACACACACGCACGTGCGCACATACTGTACATATTCCCTCCTCGCGCCCCGACGCTACAAAACCGTTCAAAACCCATAAAAGCAACAAATATTAATAATACAGGTTGTGATTCGAAGTTACTGAGCCCTCCTTCAGGAACAACCGCTTGCGAATCCACATTTGAATTCATTTATGTTTTTGAACTAACGTTATTCGTCAATAAAATGATGAGAACACAATCGGGCTATACTGTTGTGGTATCGTTGCAAATATGAACTCTGACCACCGATTCTTCACATGCTCGTCCCTGGTAAATAAAAACAAAGTGGCTGAGCTATCTTTGCATTGTAGAACACAGCGTCTTCCCGACATGATGCTATGATGAAGTATTTGAATGTGTAGACTTCTAGTTTACACTTCCGTCTGCCAATATGTCTCTACGTCACGATGTAACAGCTAATGACTCGTTTCAAAAACAATTCATTTCATAGACTCAGAGTCGACTCTCTCTTTTGAAAAACAATAACTTTATATATGGTGCACTTTCAGATGTAAATCTTTGCAGGATGTTTTCATTCCCTTAGAGCTATAGTCCACACCATATGAACAGTCATTTTCAAAAATCCATGATAGGGGCTCTTTAATTATAGATAGACATTCTAATTCTAATTTACATTATTAATAGTAATATTACATAATTATGTTTATAACGAGGTTAGACTTTAATAATACAGAAGTAAAGACAGCAGCCCCTCACGGACGAACATCAACATCAAATAATATAGTTCAGGCCTCGTCCGCTCTCAACCTTCACTGTCCGTCACTCCTCCGTTATGCTTCTGCTCCTCCGTGAGAGATACGAGACCGGTGCGTCTCGCCGGTGCCGCTCATTAGTAATCATGCCACCGGCCTGGTGCCCTCGGCCTCCTCCTACTTGCCACAATGTTACTGGTCCACTGTTACTGTTACTGATTAAAAAAAGAATAATAATAAAGTCATGTTTTATTGCTGTTTTGATATATAATGCAGTGTCGTTTAGGCATCCGGATGTCCTCGTGTATATATATATTTATATATGTGTGTGTGTAAACAGCTTTGATGTCATTTTAGTAATGTGTAGTATATTGATAGTTTTTCAGTGCTATTATTATTAATATTAATATTATTTATAGGTAACCTAAACGAACACCTCCGTTAGGAAAAAAAGTGGTCAACTTGATGAAAAAAAGCCCAACAATATAATTTAAATTAAAAATAAATGTATGTGTGTGTGTGCTATTATTATTAATATCACTTACATGTAACCTAAATAAACACTTTTTGGAAAAAAAGTTCAAAAATATAATTATCTTAAAACTAAATGTGCCTGTACAGTGTATATATGAAGAGTTCAGATGCAAAAGCCTCTAAGTGCCATTTTAATTTTTCTTCTAAAATTAATTTTTATCAAGCTTGTATATTTAAGTCCAGTAATTTCACTTAAATGGCAATGAAGATTACCTATTAATTGTCATGTAAGTGAAATTACTTAACTTAAATACACAAGCTTGATAAAAATGGTCATTCTAGAACAAAATTTCAAATGGCACTTAGAGGCTTTTGCATCTGAACTCTTCATATATATATATATATATATATATATATATATATATATATATATAAATAAAAAAGCAAGTAAAAAGGGTTATAAATAATGTTAAATTCAATTTGAATAATTTTAAAAGCATCAGGCACCAGCTCTCTGAATCAGCTGCACTTCTTTTAGTACATACTCTGATTTTACCTCACTTGTCGTATTGTATAACATGCTGGTCGCAAGCAGATGCAACTACACTTAAACCAGTGCACTCCCTGCATAAACAAATCATGAAAGTGTTAGATAAAAAACCAAAGGACTTCCATCATTGTACGATTTTGCAAAAGTTGCAATTTTTAAATATGAATAATTTTGTGTTTTATACTGATGTGTGCCTGATGTACAAAATTATACATAATCTTGCCCCACCCCCTCTTCAGGGATGTGTGACCCATAATGGAAATGCAGGTAGGACTAGAGCATCTGCCAGGGGAGATTTGGTACCACAGTACAGAAAAACAGCCTTTGGGCAAAAAGCTTTCTCAGTTAGAGTAGTGGGGTTGTGGAATTCCCTACCTACAAACATTCGCAGCCTGAATAGCTACTCAATCTTTAAAAATAAGCTCAAGCACTGGCTACTATCAAAACAAATTTGCAACCACTAATGACTGAACTGTACTTTATTTGTTTTATATTTTGGTTTTAAATTTTATAATCTACATATATGTACTGTGATGCTTCATGTGGTGTATATGTAATGTATGTTATTTTATTTGTCTTCCTGCCCAGGGACAGCAGATGTAAACTAGCTATTAGCTAATTCTGGTGCAATTACTTTTAATTGTGCATTGTCCCTGTAAAAATAAACAATAAAATGAAATGAAAAAAAAAAAAAAAAATATATATACACACTATATTCACATTCCTATTTATTAGTTAAACTGAGATCGAGATGCATTACCTTCTATTCCGTTTCAGATTCATTAGTTGGAAATTAATGCTGACTTTACAAGGACACTTAAAGGCGATATTCAAATCCTTTTCCCAGTAAATGTATAAATCAATATGCTTCTCATGGTTTTTTTTTGCTATACAGATCACTGAATACAAGCTATTCGAACACCTTGACCCTACTGGCTCTCCTCCTGTATGATGTCAGCAGTATTTCAGTGTGTGTGTTGATTCACTCCCGTCAGTTAGTCTCTCTCAGATTAGGAGTCGGAGAGGAAGGTGGCGTGGGAACAGGAAAGGGAGGTTACTATGGCAACAGCAAAGAAAAAGAATCGAGCGCTTGCGCCATAAGACAGAAACTGAGAAAGTCATTAAAGATCTCTCATTAGTATTCACCCCCAAATTCAGCATGAGGGCCTACCGAGAAGGAGAGGGGTAGGGGAAGTTAGGGGGAAAAGACTAAAAAACAAATCAAAGATAAAGAAATCAAGAAATCATACCTTACACTTTGGTAAATAAAGCATTTGAAGAGAGACAGACAACTTAATTTGTTCTTTGATAGCATGATGTTTTTATATTGTGTTCCAGTCATGTATTCAGTGTGAATCATCTATCCAGTGTTTGAAAATGGGTTGAATGATGTTTCTAAATGCAGAGATTTGCTATTAGATAACTCTCTTCATTGACAACTGTGCCAACAAGTTCATTCAAGTTCATTTATCTCTGAATACTGATGAATATCATGACACATCTCCATTATACGAGTCTCCATTGAGATTCAAATGCAGGTCAGTAGATTTGTGTGTGCGCGCACTGTGTGTACACCATTGATTAGGCCTATAGAACAGAACAGTTTCCATAGAAACAGCTGGTCAGGCAGAGGCTGATGGGTGGATTTGAAGTTGTGAAAGCATGTTGTGTAACCATAGAACTTCTTATGAAGCCACATTTGTGCATTATAACCTAAAATTTAAGCTTTAGTTGAAAATCCTCATTGTCGTCTGTATTTAATTCTTTAATTTGAGAGTGAATTGTCTCGGTCATATTGTGCATCATTCATCACTACACATTATACCAAAGATAAAAACATGTATTTTTAGTCTTTCATTCAAATGTTAAATCTTGCTCGGTCTCTCTACACATAAACGTTTTGGCAGATGTCACCAATCCTTCTATTATGTTGTCGATTATGAGACCTTTTTCCTCGTTGAAAATCCAGAATTCCCTATTTATGAAAGAAAAATGGTGCGTGAACAGCTTTCTTGTCATTTTAATAGTGTAATCTAATCTTAATAGTCATTCAGTTCTATTATTGTTATTAACGTAACCTAAACAAACACCTTCTTTTTAGGAAAAAAATTGGTCACCATATTGAACAAAAAATCTAATAAAGGTAAAAAATATGTAAATTGAAATGCAGTATAAAAAATAAAAAAAGTACCCTGCTGAAAACAGCTTTCGATCCTTTGTACATACTCATTCACTGAGGCACTTTAACAGGATGTTATAACCTGCAACAATAACCAGCTTTGCCAGTAATTGGCCACCTAAAACCAATTCAAAGAACCTTATATTTTAAACTGGTGCAAACTGGTCTAAGCTTTTTAGCAGGATGTTGTTGTGTGTATGTGTGTGTGTTTGATTGCAGGGGAAAGGTTTCTAATGGTGCTTGTGCAGTAGACCTCTTTTTAAGTGACCCTTCCAGTCTGTAGCTCCACTATGGGACCAGTGAAAAAGCCTAAAAGCTTTTGACCTTAATATTTGATGAGTCCAGTATGTTAAACCAATTAATCGGAGACTAATCCACATACTGGACCACAATCTCATAATTAATATTTCAGAGGCAGCGCATTATGGAGAAAGCTAATAAATGAAATGATTGGTTTTGGGGTTGAGCTCCAGGCCAGACCAACTCCCCAAGCTTAGAGCATCCAAATCCTGAGAGGCGCAACTTACGGCACCATCTGAGGTCCTGAACTAGAAATACTGTCAGCATTTGCCTGAGAGCTTTTTGGATTGAACAATGCTCCAGTGTCAACAAACTAGTCTACTCTTGCTCTAAAAGTCTGTATGGATCTTATCCATTAACGCACGCATTAGCAATTTGCAGGGAGTTTTGTTAGTGTAGCTTGAATTGATATATCTTTTGTTTTTATTAATTTGAGCACACCTGCTCATCTTAATGTCAAACCACAGTCCAACATATATTCTGGACATACGTTTCAGTGCCATACCACTTTTACTGATTCGACAGATTCAAACTCACGTCACCTACATCAGAACTCTGACTCAATATGTCCGATGACTCGGTGTGTGTACTTACTGTTTCACATGTCTAGGTTGGAGGTCACACCATGCTGCCAATTCGCTGGATGCCACCAGAAAGCATCATGTACAGGAAATTCACCACGGAGAGTGATGTCTGGAGTCTGGGAGTCGTGCTGTGGGAGATCTTTACCTATGGGAAACAGCCCTGGTACCAACTGTCAAATAATGAGGTATTGATCATAGACCGTAAAAAATATGGACAAAGCGTCTGTGACGTCACCCATAGACTCTCTGAAGAACGGGTTTGAAGCTGTTTATGGGGGGTATGGGCGGCGCCATACTGGAAAATCTTGGAAAATACAAAAGTTTCAGAAAGGATACAGAGGTGGTATGATGCGTTGTGTCAGATCATGGCCGAGACGTCAAATTCACTCGGCGCAGCCCGTTATCAGCTGTCAATCAAAGTTAACCGCCCTTATTTGTCATACGTTTTCTATCTAAATATGATCTAAACTAACGAGTTAGAAAAGAAAATCACCCCCCTCACAGTTGTCAGCCACGCGGAACATATTGAAGATTACAATAAAAGTCCATGGGACCAAACTGTAAAAACATGAATTTATGCTGTGAAAACGGACATTATTACATGACGTCTATGGATATTTGCTCCCTTTTGGGACCGGCCTCTAGCGGATTTGAGACGTATTGCAGTTTATCGCACTTCCGGGTAGGCTTCATCTTTCAGATTAGAATGTTGCCGCTTGGTATTGATGCTTAACATACACACCCATGTGATCTCCATGCAGTGAAATGCCTTTTTTTTTGGGGGGGGGGGGGTAGACCCCCTCTCCAGCACTTGTTTATTAAAAATAATTGATCCAACTAATCTGCTATTTAATCAGTGTAGTATTACTGCTCTGCACATGTTTTGTACAGTTCTTTAGGCTGTTCTAATGAGTAACCAGTACCACCCAGAACACAATAGCAATCACCTTGAACACATTAGCATCCAAACAGAAGATCACCAAGAATACCCATAGAAGCCACCTAGAACACATTAGTCACCAACCTGAAGAAGCTAGAGCAAGGGGTATCCGAACCCACTCCTGGAGAAAGCCTTAGAGATCACCCAGAACACCCTAGCAGCCTCCTTGAACACATTATCAAATGCAATGAACACTGCAGTAAGCATCTAGAACACATTAACAACCAACTAGAAGACTTTGATTTCCCTACCCTGTACCCATTTTTGAACTCATCCCAATGGCTTGTTTTCTAAGTCAAGGGTTTTCAAACCATTCCCGGAGGATCCCCAAAACTGCACGTCTCCCTTATCTGTCACACCCTCTTCGGGTCTTGCAGTCTCTTCTAATGAGCTGATGAGAGGAATCCGATGTGTTAGAAGACAGAGACATACAAAACGTCCAGTGCTTGGGATCCTAAGTCTAAATGGTGTTCAAAGAATAGCATAGGATTCAGACTTCTTGGGGTAGACCTGACCTGCTTCTTCTTATTGCTTGACTATCCGGGGCCCAGGTCAGACTTGCTTAACCGACCATCAGCTGGATGCCTTGGGTTCCAATGTAGCTCATATAAATGCAATATTATCATATAAATGTGCCTCCTGGAACAGGCTTGGAAATCTGTGCCCCATTGTACTGTACTGCTGAGTCTCCTGTCCTAAAACTTTACCTCAGGCTCAGAGCATCCGTTAACTGAATGAGTTGAAAATCTCACCTGAAAAATCCAATAACATCAGCAATTGTCATTCAAGCAGCTGATTTCTGTAAATGAATGCAAAACTAAACGTATATTGCAGCATAGGGCAAAGTCAGGATCCATCAGCAACGATTTGAGACAAAAATAATAAAAATGATATAAAACTATGCAAATGGCGTAGCAGGATTTTGAACACGGTCCTGAGCCGTTGCTGGGCGCCGCGGACAGACGCCGAATGGTGTGTGTACTCTCATAGAGAATAAAGACGTGGCGCTGCGTGACGCGACGCTTCTCGTCCGGTGTGCGACCCACTTAACCCGAAGACATGACATGAGTAAAGCCTGCGTCCCTTCAAACCTTAGACTTGAAGTATTCAAACACATAAGGCTACACTATATAAACTTCAAAATGCTATATATTCAAACTCTATGGCTACGTTCACATTTAATGCTCAATTCCGATTTTTTGAAAAATTCAATTTTTTTGCAAGGCCATTCACATTTCCAATTAAATGCGACCTTTTTTGTGATCTCCTGTGTGAACGTGAAATGACCCAGAAGTGACCCGCATGCGCAGAAGAGTAATCAACGGTCCAAGACGTCACTTGTTGTTTGCGGAATAGTTCTTTTTTCCATATGTTGCGAGCTTTTGTTTTATTATTATTATTGCCACAGCCCATATACAAACACCGACAATAATTATTTTATCGGCGGGCAGTTTGCTCATAAATGTACGATTTTTCCGATCCTCACCGACCTCGTCATGAAACCCGTTTAATTGATTGTGCGTGTCCTCGGCGCTCCTTGCTTTGTCACCGGCGGCCGCGGTGCGACACTGGTGGCTGGTGTTGCCAGATTGGGTGTTTTTTCGCTACATTTTAAGGCAGGTTTACATGTGTTTTAGCCAGGTTTTCGCCTGGAAGGCTCTATAGAAATCTGGCACCCTACTGTACGAAGTTTTACTGACAGAGAGCGCACGTTCACAGACACCAGAATGAACGTGTTCACAGTAATGTTCATCAGGCAGTAATACAGTATATGAAGGCGTTCATGCACTATCGTTCATTGAACGCGTTCAGGCACAACACTGGGGAAGAGACTCGTCTGCAGTGGCCCATAACAGTGAGGAAACGCGTTGGAGTTAGCGTGTATTGGCTGGCTACAGGTGCGTGCAATGACGTGCGGGTCGGCTATATGTGACCTGGCCGTTCAGATTGAAGTCGCATTTCAAAAGATCGGATACATATCGGATTTGGACCACATACCCAAGTGGCCTGGGTCGCATTTGAAAAGATCGGATCTGTGTCGTTCAGACTGTCATGAAAAAATCAGCTACAGGTCGCATAGGGGCAAAAAAAATCGGAATTAGGTCGTTTCATCCTGCAGTGTGAACGTAGCCTATCACTCATTGGATGGTGTGTTATCTTAATAGACAATCCTTTATAGCAGTTTTACTCATACATTTCTGGACATTTACCTTTCACTTCTTTGCTCTTTTTTAGGTGATCGAGTGTATCACCCAAGGTCGTGTACTCCAGCGACCCCGGACCTGTCCAAAGGAGGTGTATGACTTGATGCTGGGATGCTGGCAGAGAGAACCCCACACCCGACTCAACATTAAAGAGATCAATAACCTGCTCCTCAACCTGGCCAAGGCATCACCGGTGTATCTGGACATCCTGGGATAAGAGAGAATATGCCCAATTTGGGACTGCGAGTGGATCCCGGAAATCCCACCCAAAATCTCTTTCTTCTACAGCTTTAACACGTCCTCCCTTGACCTCCTCCTCCTCATCGACTGCTCCTCTTCTCAATGTAAACGTCTAGATACATTGGCAACAGGATCGTGTCCAATGACTTTGAATTATGTATTTCTGAACAAAAATGGACTGAATGGAAACTCAAGTGACTATGGTTTTACTTAGAGTGATCAAGATCCCCAATGGCTGACCATCCTCAACTTCTTCAGTGCAAAAATGGATTCGGGACTTGAGGAAGGGTGTCCATCTTAACAAAGAGGAAATATCAGCTCTGAACAATGACCAAACTCAAATTAGAGGAGGACCGAACAACTTTTCTGCCTACTGGACATACTTCCGATACAAAGCACAGAACGTGAAACTAGCATGGTGATTAACGGTGACAAACTGCAACTATATCTATACGTATACATGTGTTTATAAAACTGGATGTTACCGACGTAGTTTCACAGTTGAGCGACTCTAATTAAATGCTTCTGGACGCTGACAAAAAGCAAATCTGAAATGCAAAGTAGTCCATTAAAACGTGTCGAGAACATGGGTGTTATTTATAGTGGGACATGTCCTCACTACTTTTGCCATTGCTGATTTTGTCCCACTACTTTATGAAACAGTTTGCGGCAGGTTTATGTCCAGTGCAGTGAAGCAGGGGGCTATATTTTTTAGTATGAGTAGCGATCTATTGGTGGAATTAGCCATGATGTATGATTTTTGAATCACTGTCATTCATCACGTTTCAGTTTTAACCTGGAGAAAAGCTCTACTACTCACCCGCTTCATATTTATAAGATCACGTTCAATTATTTGTGCATAACCTTATTAATATTGATAAGCTGAGCCTTGTCCATTTCGTGATGTCACAACCAGCGTGTCTGTTTTCCGCCACTCGACCAAATCAACGGCCATAGTCTTCAGGTCGGTACACGACGTGGAGTCATTTGAGACGAGGCCATGCCTCAATACCATCAGCTTGCATTTCTTACAGGAGCTTAATTATACAGAGTGGCCGATTATGATGGGGTGGGCTAAATTACGACCTTGCTTTCGCTCTTTCTCGTTCGCCATGTTTTACTACTGAGTTGAAGCACTAATGTAGTACTCAAGCTTCGGGTCGTACAACTGCTATAGTGTAATATATATTTCATTACAGGACAAATGTCTCCTATTAGCAGCAACTCCCTCTAGGCTCATAGACGCTATCAGTGGGGAGAAGAGGAGAGAGACGGGAGGGGACAGGATGGAGGGAATATGAGAATATAATGTTAAAGAGAGATAAACTTGAGTCACCTCACTCAAAGCCGCATTTCGTCTTCCTTTTATCATACATAAATTATTATATCTGTTTATCACTATAGAGATCCTATCAAAGCATCCTTTTTTTTTGCGTTGATTATCGCACGGTCATTCTCCTACAAGACTTGGCACACTTTACTCAATGCCGTGAATCAGACAAAATAATATCTTCTAAAAAATTCATTCTCTGAGCATAAAATCCCAAAAGTAGTCCACGCAAGTTTGGAGTTAATTACTTTTTTAAGAGATGTAACTTTTAATTTTATATTTTATTTATTTTATATTTAAGGTGAAGCACTTTTGTGTTTGTAAATTATTTTATTTATGTAAAAAAATAAAAATGATTGATATTATATTTTTTTCATATTTGGTTGAGAGCTCAAGGGTTGTGGAATGGGATGTATTGATGAAGAAAAATATAGAAAGATTACATATTTTGGGGTGAACGTTAAGAAAACTACATTAAAAGTTACATTGACTGCAAAAGCAATGACATTTTGGATTGTGACTATTTTTCATGAACATTAAGAAAATGCTCTCAAATTCTAGTTAGCACAATGTATTTTTTACGTTGAATTTATGTAAATTAATTTCATTTTTTTTACTGAAGAACAATGTTTTTAATGTTTTTATTTTTTTTTACAGTACAACAAACTAACATGAAAAATGTTTTTTTTTTCTTGTGTTATACACTCACCTAAAGGATTATTAGGAACACCATACTAATACTGTGTTTGACCCCCTTTCACCTTCAGAACTGCCTTAATTCTACGTGGCATTGATTCAACAAGGTGCTGAAAGCATTCTTTAGAAATGTTGGCCCATATTGATAGGATAGCATCTTGCAGTTGATGGAGATTTGTGGGATGCACATCCAGGGCACGAAGCTCCCGTTCCACCACATCCCAAAGATGCTCTATTGGGTTGAGATCTGGTGACTGTGGGGACCATTTTAGTACAGTCAACTCATTTTCATGTTCAAGAAACCAATTTGAAATGATTTGAGCTTTGTGAAATGGTGCATTATCCTGCTGGAAGTAGCCATCAGAGGATGGGTACATGGTGGCCATAAAGGCATGGACATGGTCAGAAACAATGCTCAGGTAGGCCGTGGCATTTAAACGATGCCCAATTGGCACTAAGGGGCCTAAAGTGTGCCAAGAAAACATCCCCCACACCATTACACCACCACCACCAGCCTGCACAGTGGTAACAAGGCATGATGGATCCATGTTCTCATTCTGTTTACGCCAAATTCTGACTCTACCATCTGAATGTCTCAACAGAAATCGAGACTCATCAGACCAGGCAACATTTTTCCAGTCTTCAACTGTCCAATTTTGGCGAGCTCTTGCAAATTGTAGCCTCTTTTTCCTATTTGTAGTGGAGATGAGTGGTACCCGGTGGGGTCTTCTGCTGTTGTAGCCCATCCGCCTCGAGGTTGTGTGTGTTGTGTCTTCACAAATGCTTTGCTGCATACCTCGGTTGTAACGAGTGGTTATTTCAGTCAAAGTTGCTCTTCTATCAGCTTGAATCAGTCGGCCCATTCTCCTCTGACCTCGAGCATCAACAAGGCATTTTCGCCCACAGGACTGCCGCATACTGGATGTTTTTCCCTTTTCACACCATTCTTTGTAAACCCTAGAAATGGTTGTGTGTGAAAATCCCAGTAACTGAGCAGATTGTGAAATACTCAGACTGGCACGTCCCGTCTGGCACCAACAACCATGCCACGCTCAAAATTGCTTAAATCCCCTTTCTTTCCCATTCTGACATTCAGTTTGGATTTCAGGAGATTGTCCTGACCAGGATCACACCCCTAAATGCATTGAAGCAACTGCCATGTGATTGGTTGATTCGATAATTGCATTAATGAGAAATTGAACAGGTGTTCCTAATAATTCTTTAGGTGATTGTATTTGAATAGAAATGTAGAGAAATCTGCTTAATTGTCAAGAAAATAATGCAACTTGTTATTTTCATGAGGTTGTTCAAAGATATCAATATGGATGGGGAGTTTAAGTGGTTTAGATTAGTCTGCGACAGAACAATGAACTGTGACTGCATATCTTCTACATGTACAGAACTTCTTCTGATGTTTCAGAATGTCTATAAGCTAAACTATCCACAATAAAACCACATGAAAAGCGTTAAAGTCAACATGACAGCAACATTTATACCACACTTTCCTAATCTGAAACATCTTTCCTTTTCAGCAGTCACCGATTTACGGAAGTAAAATGATTTTCAAAGGCTTTGAATCCAACATTCTTGAGACACTTCCCACCTAGTATACTTTTCTTGATGCGTTTAAATGATGCCTACTTACACCTGGAAAGAAGATTTCTGCAAAGTATCAAGTAGTTTGTTGTACAGTTAAACACTCAGCTACAAAAGTACAATCAAATGTCCTTGTCTTTATGATTTCTCTGAGGTACATGGACAAGTCAAGTTGTCCGCCGCCATTGTATTTAATAAAAGTGTAATGTCTTCCCTCGTCACGTGTGCGTGTGGAGTGTGTTATTGTGACAGTGAGTTATGCGTAGGTCCATGTTTATAGGTGGGTCAATAGAGGTTCATACAGAGTGCTTTGACAACACGGGCCGAACGTATTGACCCACAGGCACTAAAATGCTTTATTGACGGACAGCCATGTTTTTTATGTCTTATTGGCCGTCAGCCTGAAATTTTACCTCATACAGAAACATGATGGAGACCAGAGCAAGTTAAAAACAATTTATGATGACATGACACAATCCATAAAGTTTATGTAGCATTAGCGTTGACAGTAGATCTGAAGCTTCGAGAGTGGAGTAAAACAAGAGTTTGTTCCAATTCCCATTTCCCTGACATGGAGAGAGGGGGGAAAGAAAGGGAAGACTGATCAATCAGTGGATCGATGGCTTGTTTTGACATTGTACATTAAGACCTAACTAATTGCTAGAGGGCTAAATGCTTTTAAAAAACACATCCATGATGCTCAGTGCAATTGGGATTTTTCACAGCATGCAGCAGAAATCTCGAAGGGCCGAGTGAGTGTGCAAACAACTGAATAAACAAAGATACACTCTTCTGATGTCATCATTGCAAACGCGTTTTATACTTATAATTATTACAGTTTTAAACTAGTACGACTGCGCTGCATTGAAACCTCAAAAAGTGTGGCTTGTTGAGGAGAGGTGTGCTGCACATTTACACTGCAGGTCTTGATGACTTGATGACAATAGTGATATATTTCTGTCATAATTTAAACCGAACTTTTATTTTGACGGGTTATAGTGAAGACCTGTTTAAAAGTGTATTTGACAATGTTTTTTTCTCGAATAAAATGCTGAAAATGCTCATTAGGTGTTCAGAGCAGCTCTACAAATGTTCATGTATTCATGTCCTCAAATTGTTTGTGAGACGCTGAAAACACCATGAACGTCACGCGTACTTGATTAAGATGACTCGATGACTGAAGTCGTTGACTATATTCATATTTGTTTTGTCTTTTGACAACTTCTTTCAAAAGTGACCCATATCGGATATCTGCATTTCCATGCTCTTGCAAAACAACCCAAGGTAGACGTACTATCTAGGAAAAACGAATGCCAAAAAGGAAGTAAAAACAGCAAGAGTTGCAATGAACGCAGATGAAATAATAGTACAAGCTTTTGCTTTCCGCACCATCTTTAAAGGAGAGCAAATTATTTGTTTTCAGCCTTCATTGCGCCATTGACAAGTGTCATGTGATCGCGGTTGGTGTCCACTTGAGTTGACGTCATTTTTCCAACGTCGCTTTTTCAACGTATCCGATTCAAATCAGATTTATTTTCACATATGAATGAGGCCTGAAACAGATCTGAGAATACTGTATCCTGATCCGAGATCAGTGAATAACCGTGTGCTCTTTTTCGGCTTAAACGTTCGTGGATCATATCTGATCTGTGCCACATGGTAGGAATAAAAATGAAAGGACATTACTGTAAGTCCCTTGGGCCATGTAATGTAAATGTGGCCTAAGTGATCAGACTAATATTTTGGCCTACAATACATTGACTAATAATACATTTACTATGATGGATCCAAGGCAAGAGACCACAACTGGGATAAACATTTATTACAGCACAGTTCACCAAAAAAATGTCATATTTCTTTCTTCCTTGGAAAAAAAATTATAAAAATTCTGAAAATGTTTGTTTTTTATTGAGTGGGTTTAATATTGTTTCAAACCCCATATGGAAGCTGCAGAAACATTCTTTAAAAAATGTACCTTTTTGAATGAACAAACCAGTTGTACAGATCTTTTAACAGAATAGGCCTACCCATGTTTGGTAAGATGGAAAAAAAAGATGGTTTCATCAAAATTGTAAGAGAGATGTTTTTTTATTATTTTTTTTCTATGACAGGGCCCCTCCTCTTCATCCTGAATTGATTTTTCCCACCTTACTTCCTCAGAGATATTAACTTTTAAATGCCACTCCAATACATTAAGTGGACGACTGAGAGGTTTTGTGGTCTGTTAAATACTAAACACAGATTCATCCTGATGTCAGGGCATTTTTTCTAGGAAAGCATGGAAGATCATTTGGGATATAAGCAAGTGCTATTCATCAGCTTGACCACATTAGTAGCTGTTTAGTGTCCGTGTGTAGAGAGAAAACAGCAGGCTTCGGGTGCTGTTGGTCAGTGTGATAAATCTGTATTCTGGTATAATGCGGTTTTTAACTATCAACGCCTAAATTTCTTGTTAGATAGACCACCTTGAGCTATAATCATAAGGGGGTGTACAGTAATTGATTTACGATTTAAAGGGGTGATGAACTGAGAAATCAAATTTTCCTTGAGCTTTTGACATCTAAGAGGTCATCATATTATAAGAATATCCTGTAAGTTTCAGAACTGAAAACGCCCTTGTTAGTCCAATATAAGCTTTTATTGACACCAGCCTCAGCAAACGACTCATTTTTCAAAGCTGGGAGAAATATGACGACAAAGAGGATAAAACACCAGAAGAAGATCAACGCCTACTTCAACATGGCCGGTTTAGCCCCCCCCACCGATTCGCGCATTACACGCGTAGCTACATAGGCCTACCTCGTGATGACAAACCGGATGGAGCTACCGAGCATTATTGTGCTGTGCCTGGTTGTGGAAGAAGACACTGCATGCTTCCTCTGGGTTCCAATAGGACTGCATGGATAAACTTTATTTTTAATGACGTTCCAGCTGATGAGGGTAAAACATTGTCCGTCTGTTCGCTTCATTTCACTGAGGATTGTTTTGTAAACAAGACTGGATTTGCAGACCGATTAAGAGTAAATAACGGTGCTGTGCCATATTGGATCTGACAGGAATTGTGCAACACACGGACTCTGGGTCGAACATGTATGGTCGAATCATTCCGGTTGCCATTTTACAACATTGGGAGTTTTCTCTACGTACATCAACGGGTGAGTTCAAACAGTTCAATGAGATATTATTTGCATGCCCACGACACCGCACTGCGGGACCACAGTGAAACGAAAACTGAAAATCAAACCGCAAACTATCTTTACTCCGGTCAAACACCGTATTATAAGCAAAACTGTTAACCACGTACAGCATTGGGCGTCTACTTCCAAGTCTTCAGTGCGAAATGCCTATAAAAACCGTGCTTTTCTGAGCTG